AGGAATGGGTACGCGGTACTTGGCTATGGCTATCGTCAATAAGGAGATGGGTGTTCCAGTGCCATTTCAGTAAATACGCTTAGCCGGAATACTCAACTCTTCAACTTAGAATATGCTACCACGGATTTGTCTGTAATTCAATGACCCACGCCAGGATGCTAGTCATATTTGAAGGTCAGAGTTCTATCCATGTTAGTTCTTCCCTGCATTTCTTTCAGAAATCAGAATGCTGTTTCCTGCTGGATTATCAAGAGCATATTGATCAAGGAGGTGTGCTGTCTAGGGTAACATCTCCATGGAGAGCTGATTGCACAAGAGCTTCACTGGTAAATGGTTCAAATAGCAGATTCTACAAGATTGTGCAGCTTCATTTCAGGGAAGTTTTGGGTTCCGAAGATAAATAGCAGCTTATACTACTGAAAATAAAGCTTTTCTTAAACAGACTCAGTATGGATGCTAATTAGGTGTTCGTATTGTCTTCAGACTGACTGTTCAATCTTGGATTTTTGACCCCCCACAATGAACGTCCTAGTTATATGCTCTTTTAGAAGTCAGCATAGGGCCAGTTAGTAAGGTATCTAAAATGGGATGGTGTTCTCTGTTTTGACAGAGATTAACCAGACTTTACCCTCTGAAGAGGCTTACAACTCGTAGTTGGGAATTAGGTATCATTTCAACTCATTAATTCCCAATTGTGAGGGATGAAATAGGACCACACATGTTCAATTGCGAATTGTACTACCTTTCTCTTCCTTTTTGACTCATTTTACGCATAATTTTGAACTGTATGTCAGTTTGCAACCAAAACAATGCAATGTAGTAAGACCCCGTTTGATAATCTAATTCAACACTTAAACTTAATAGATTTAGATTTTAACATATTTAGATTGTTTGATAATCAGATCTTAACATATTCAGACTGTTTGATAATCAAAAATTGAACATCTGAATTAATTAAATGACACTAAATTTCTTAGGCAAAATTTGCTCTCAAAATTAAGTGTAAACTATTTACTGAATGTGATATGCACTTAAATGTATTAGATTTAATACTTAATAATTCAATAATTTAATTGATTCAGATTTTCGATTTCAAACTTTAATTTTATCAAACGCACCCTAAGCATTAATATCACTCGAGTTCCATTAAAGGAAAAAATGAAATGAGACAACTCACATTAAGCTTTTAATCTACATACAAATTTTGATGGAAAACAAGAAGGGATTGACCTGGCAATTAAGTGTCTAGAAACCTATGCTAGTGATCATAAATACTAACAACATATGTTAATTAACACGGTCAACGCTACGTATTGATTTATAAGAGGGTGAAGTGTAATTAGCCATTATGGATATGTTGTTGGTTTGTTGCTGTACAGCAAGCAAGTGTTAGTATAGCAAAACCCTTGACTTCTGATTATTGAGCTAATACATGCAACGCTATTAATTGAGATTAGGATCACTAGCTGCATTTAACCTTGGTTTACAATTTATTGAGCCATATCCTTGAGCGTGCTAACCTTAGAATACAATTTTTTTAAAAAAAAATAGTACTCTTTCGGTCCCACTTTGATAGTCCTGTTTTCCTTTTTCGTCTGTCACAAATTGTAGTCCACTTTCCAATTGAAAAATGTAGTTGTATTTTAATTTTCCTAAAATACCTTTATTCAAGGTAAGTTGTTGTTACTATAAACATACCCCATTTAACGAGAGTTGATTCTTTTTTTACCATCAATTCAAATTCTCATAAAGTTGTACTCTAATTAATGTGAGGTTATTTTAGAAAAATAGCTACCTAAATTGATTGTTCCAACAAAGTTAACTACTTTTTATTAAACTGTGTGAAAAAAGAATCAGGACTATCAAAGTGAGACAGATGGAGTATATTTTTTCTGGGTTGAATGGAGGCCAAAAAAAAAAAAAAAAAAAAGCCAGCTACAATGAAACTATGCTGTAATTCTTTATAGTGATCAAAAGGGTTTTAGGGTTGGCACACTTCCATTGTCATCCCCAAGTGTACTCATGAGTCTACTTCAGATGTTGAGCATAAAAGAAAAGAGAATTTAGCAAGAGTTGTTGTATACTACTGTCACAAAAAAGGAAAATGAGTGACAAATTGAAAAGAGAGTATAAATCTAATACTACAATCATGTTCTTTCCTCAAGTTTGGAGCTTGGATTATTGTGTACATTTAATGTTTTGGAGCTGAGAAGAGAATAATAGCATTGAAACCAAGATAGTTGTATACTCCCTCCGTCCCACTTTGATAATCTTGTTTTTCTTTTTTGTCTGTCCCAAATTATAGTCTACTTTCCAATTGAAGAATGTAGTTGTATTTTAATTTTTCTAAAATACTCTTATTCAATGTAAGTTGTTGTTACTATAAACCTACCCCATTTAATGAGAGTTTATTCTTTTTTTACCATCAATTCAAGTTCCCATAAAGTTGTACTCTAATTAATGTGAGGGTATTTTAGGAAAATAACTACCTAAATTGATTGTTCTAACAAAATTAACTACTTTTTCTTAAACTGTGTGAAAAAAGAATCACGACTATCAAAGTGGGACAGATGGAGTATTTAGTAGGGTAAAATTTGATAGGTGAAAAGTTTCTTTTGTTAGAAACCACGTCATTCATTATGGTTGGTTTTTAATCATTCTTGTCAATGCCAAAAGCATAAAATTTTAGGTTTTATAGATTTTTAAAAGTCAATCAATTGTAAAATCAATGAGAACATTATTGATATTGTCTTTGTGCACTTGATCTTCATAAAAAACAAATCAATAAACACTTTCAATGGTGTAAACAAGGAGTATTACTGATAAGTAGCATGTCGAATTTTGGTTTAATTGGATGAGGCAATGAAATAGTGAGTGAGTAGATTTTAGAGATTAATAAATGACATCTTCTTCAACGGTTTAGAGTCCGTTTGAATGGATATTATAATTTGTTGATGTATGTGAAATAAAAAAATAAATAAAAAATATGTTTACGATAAAATATAAAAATATTTTTTATTATTTCAGTTTCTCCTTTCAAAAGCCAACAAAAGACAGTGAGAACATTTCCCTCCAATTCCATCCCAACAAAGTCCTGTGCCACTTGGGATTCTGGACCATAAAGACTACCTTGTACCCACATGAAATGATGAAAGGATACCCTCCAACTTAATTGTCCCTAATAAGAAGCTCAGCCAGCTTGCCCTCGCCCAAAAAAATGGAGAAGGACCCAAATGGCCAAATCACGCCTAATGTTGAATTTCATTGCAACATTATACTATTGCATTAGCTAATAGGACTAGGCTCAATAGCTTTTCTGATTCCTTAACTTGGAAAAGATAGAAAGGACTTTTTGCTAATAAAAATAAAAGCCTTCTACTGTTCCAAAAGTACTAAATACTCTTACTTGTCAATAGTATATATACTATAATAAACTTTTAGACTCTTCTCAGGTGCGATTGATAAAACTAAAACCTGAAATTTAAAGTTTGAATTCATTAAATTATTGAATTGTTCAGTATTAAATCTGATACACTTAAGTACATATCACATTCAGTAATAAGTGAATAGTTTATCACTTAATTTTGAGAGCAAGTTTTGTCCAGAAAATTCAGTGCCACTTAATTACTTCAGATATTTAATTTTTTGTTATCAAACGACTTAAATATGTTAAAATTTGAATCTATTAAATTTAAATATTAAACCGAGTTATAAAAAACGGATTTAGTTCTTCTTTTGTTACTAAAATTCCATATCCGCACAATACTACTAGTCTACCACTTCTACTGCATGACACCCAATGACGCAAAATCACATCTAATCTTGAATCTTCCCACCCATGCCCTTTGTTTAGCCCCACCATTATCAATTTCCCCCCTACTTTATCTCCTCTCATTCTTTTTAAAGTTTCACACTCATTTAATCAAATATTTTCTTTCCAATCCTAAAGGCACTATTTGTTTTGCAAGAATGGAAGGGAAAGAAAAGGAAACGGAGGGATAAAAGGTTTTTGACGTTTGGTTTGGTTTGGTGTTTGAGAAGGGAAAAAGAGAGATAAGATTCAGTTATCTTTTATCCGCCTACTTTTTCATCGAAAGGGGACAGAAACGGAGAGAATGCGACACCAAGATTAATACAAATTTCAAAATTTTTTCTACAAACATCTGTTCTGTTATTATAAATTAGACTTTTAAATTATGGAAAAAAATTCAACTAATGCATCATAATTCCATTTTCCTTTCCTTCTGTAATTCAAACAGAGATAGATTGACTCAAATTTCCTCTTCTCTCCTTTCATTTCTTTTCCATTAGAGTTCTCTCATTTCCTTTCCTTCCCTTTCATTCAATCCAAACGGTGCCTAAATCTTTTTTTCCATCTAAATGAATTTTAGAATAAAATAGAAATCAAGAATGAAAAAGAAAATCAAATAGTGTATCAAATGGAAAAGAAGAGGAAACGGAGGGATAAAGGCTTTTGATGGTTTAAATTGGTTTTTGAGGAGGGAAAAAAGGGGATAAGATTCAGTTATTTTTTGTCAGCCTACTTTTCAATCTAAAAGTGGACGGAGATAGAGAGAAGGGACATCAATCAAAATGAATGAAAATTTTCTAAAAAATATGTTATGTGTTTTCTTTCCTTCCCTTTCATTCAATCCAAACAGTGCGTAAATCTTTTTTTCCATCTAAATAAATTTTAGAATAAAATGGAAATCAAGAATGAAAACATAAGAAAAATCAAATAGTAGTGTATCAAATGGAAAGCAATCAATCAAAGCATAAACCCTCCTTGATGAATATGAATAGTAGTAGTAGCATCATGCCGGTGGGTGGCTCTTCTTCTAATCTCTAATTCTTTCTTTCTACTTAACAGCAAACAAACAAGGCACAAATGTGGCCCTCTCGTCCCTTCCTCCGAAGCTGAAACGAGCGCGCGCTCACATTAGCCGCGCCTATAAATTCATGCTTATAAGCACCCATTCGAGCGTGTGAGTGTGTGCAATCGAATCGCACGCCCCAAAAAAATATTTAACAAAAAGAGGAACACAAAAACGACAGAGCGCGCCTCCACTCACTCACACGCACACACGCACCAAAACACGCACTCAACTTCACACAAAACACCGCACATTTCTCACTCATAATTCTCTCGTTCCATTCAATCATCATCAACTGCACCCCCCACTGCCCCAAAAACCCTAACTCGTTCCGCAGAGCCATGGCTGCCGAGTCAACTCAGATGCAGCAGGCCCAACTCGCCGCGATTCTCGGCCAAGACCCTGCCCCCTTCGAAACCCTAATCTCCCACCTCATGTCCTCCTCCAACGAGCAACGATCCCAGGCCGAGTCAATCTTCAATCTCATCAAGCAGACCGATCCCAACTCCCTGGCTCTCAAACTCGCTCAGCTTCTCTCTTCTTCTCGCCACGTCGAGGCCCGAGCCATGTCCGCTATTCTTCTCCGCAAGCAACTCACTCGGGACGACTCCTACATCTGGCCCCGCCTCTCCCCCGCCACTCAATCCGCCATCAAGTCCGTGCTCCTGACATCGATTCAGAACGAGAATTCTAAGAGCATAATTAAGAAGTTGTGCGACACGATTTCCGAATTGGCCTCGTCGATTCTACCGGATAACGAATGGCCCGAGATTTTGCCATTCATGTTTCAATGCGTCACCTCCAGCGACGCGAAATTGCAGGAGTCCGCCTTTTTGATCTTCTCCCAACTCGCCCAGTACATAGGGGACACGCTCGTTCCGTATATCAAGGACTTGCACGCCGTTTTTCTGCAGGTTTTGAATCATTCGGCCAGTTCGGATGTGAGGATTGCGGCGTTGAGCGCTGTGATTAATTTCATCCAGTGCTTGAATAGCGCTAGTGATCGGGACAGGTTTCAGGATTTACTCCCTGCCATGATGAGAACGTTGACCGAGGCTTTGAACGGGGCGCAGGAGGCTACTGCTCAAGAGGCGCTGGAGTTGTTGATCGAGTTAGCTGGGACCGAGCCCAGGTTTTTGAGGAGGCAGTTGGTGGATGTTGTGGGATCCATGTTGCAGATTGCCGAAGCCGAGACCTTGGAAGAGGGTACGAGGCATTTGGCGATTGAATTCGTGATTACTTTGGCTGAGGCCAGGGAAAGAGCTCCGGGGATGATGAGGAAGTTGCCACAGTTTATTAGCAGGTTGTTTGCCATTTTGATGAAGATGCTGTTGGATGTTGAGGACGATCCAGCTTGGCACACCGCGGACGCAGAGAATGAGGATGCTGGGGAGACCAGTAACTATAGCGTTGGACAGGAGTGTTTGGATAGACTATCAATTGCGCTGGGTGGAAATACTATCGTCCCTGTTGCTTCTGAGCAGTTGCCGGTATATTTGGCTGCTCCTGAATGGCAGAAGCATCATGCTGCACTTATTGCTCTTGCCCAAATTGCTGAGGGCTGCTCGAAGGTAAGACCTTGCGAGTGAGTTCATGTAGTGCTGTCTACTTACTTTAGAAGGCTGAATATGTAGCTTGCTTATTTTTCAGTTGTTGGGTGGTATTTGCTAATTGAGATGTTGATGCGTACATTGTTCTTGGCCCCTTATTTGTTGTCGTCTTGCACAATCACCAACACGAATGGTTTGTTTTATTAGTTAGTAATTGCTTAGACGTGTGATTTTGTATTCTTTTTCTTAAGGTGAACTTTTGTTCTTGCAGCCGTTAATTGCACTGTTTAAAAATTTGACCTTTATCGACAGCTTTGTTTGTGTATCATTTAGATTAATTCTGCATTCTGTTCATGTATTACCAGCTGCTATGCAGCGGGAATGGTATGGAATTCTTCTCTGATTTGACATTTTTTCTTTACATTGCAGGTTATGATTAAGAATTTGGGGGATGTACTGAATATGGTCTTGAATTCATTCCAAGATCCTCACCCTCGGGTGAGATGGGCAGCTATCAATGCAATTGGCCAGCTGTCAACTGATTTAGGCCCAGATTTGCAAGTTCAGTATCATCAACGTGTACTGCCTGCACTAGCAGCAGCCATGGATGATTTCCATAATCCCAGAGTGCAGGTTTGATAATATGTATTTTATCATTCCCGTTAGACAATGCAAGTTGTTCTTGGGGGGTAATGTTGTTTCTGGAGCATTTGCTATTTATTTGGTGACCTTTGGGTCTAGCCATGTCAATGCTTCAGTGTTTGATGGTTCTACATCTTCATGCAGCTATGATATTTGCTTTATTAGTTGTTTTTTAATTAAACGTCTTTTTTTTTAAGCTTTGGCTCTCTTAGAATTGTACATATTCTCGAGATATTATGATGTTCGCAAATGTTTTTAGGTCCCTGAGATCCAAGCTACTTTGAACATTTATTTGCATGCTAGAATGGAATATTTATGCCTTGCAATTATAAGTTGTAGGATGTTGAATATTTGTACTTTGAACCACTTATTTGAATGCTAGAATGGAATATTTATACCTCGCAATTATAAGTTGTAGGATCTTGAATAGCATGTCAAAGGAAATACCTTTTTTAGCTCTTCTGAATTTCCTCTTTTCGCGTATGACATTTAAGCATGTGATGAAAGCTTTGATTCTGCTTGAGTTACTGCTTAATACTCGAATTAATGTATCAAAGTGATGTTTGTACAGCAGCTGTATTTCCAATATATTTGTTTGGGAATTTTGCAGGCACATGCTGCTTCAGCAGTGCTCAATTTCAGTGAAAACTGCACTCCAGAAATTTTAACACCTTACTTGGATGGTATTGTCAGTAAATTGCTCGTACTTCTGCAGGTATGAGGGCGAAAAAGGTTCTCATTGGTGCTTAGAAAAGAACTTTGACAAAAATATTAAGATTTACTTTTTGGTTATTTTGTTCTTATCTGAAATGTAGAATGGAAAACAAATGGTGCAAGAAGGGGCCTTAACGGCCTTAGCTTCAGTTGCTGATTCATCACAGGTAGACATATCTTAAGATCATTTCTTTTACAATTGAACATTGATTTGGTAGTATTTCTGCTTTGCAGTCTGATGAATGTGCGTAATTACAGGAGCATTTCCAAAAATACTATGATGCAGTCATGCCTTACTTGAAAGCCATATTGGTTAATGCCACCGACAAGTCAAATCGCATGCTTCGTGCCAAAGCCATGGAGTGCATAAGCTTAGTTGGGATGGCTGTTGGAAAAGAGAAGTTTAGAGATGATGCTAAGCAGGTAAATAAAATATTAGGAATGTATTGCAACAATTGTGTTGCTTTTATCTGGCATCTTGGTAAATTCGCATGTTACTTAACAGGTTATTAATTATGACTAGTGCTATCACTTGATTTTTTTTTTGAATTGAAATTTGATTACACTTTTGTTACTCTTTGGCCTGTCAAAAATGAGATGAGGCCGTCATTGTAGCTGCTTTCTGAACTATCTTTTGGAATGTAATTTGGGTTATCTTTAACTGATTCAATGATCATGACATAACATAACATCTGAATCTTCCATTATGCAAAGGTTATGGAAGTGCTGATGTCTCTGCAAGGATCTCAAATGGAGACCGATGATCCAACTACTAGCTACATGCTTCAAGTATGTTACCATCCTCCCTTTCCCTTTAATCTGTTTTAGACGCTGGAGCTTGTTCAAATGCTAATGAGCATATAACTCTGTGGCAGGCATGGGCCCGACTTTGCAAGTGCTTGGGGCAGGATTTTCTTCCTTACATGAGTGTAGTTATGCCTCCTTTGCTTCAATCAGCTCAACTTAAGCCTGATGTGACCATAACATCTGCAGATTCAGATAACGAAATTGATGAATCTGATGATGAAAGGTCTTATTCTTCTTGGAATTCACCCTGACGATGAATCATTTTCACATTATTTTTGAATTCTGTTTTCTTTTTTTCAACATTAGTTAATTACAGTCAATGCAGGTAGCTTTTATTTTGATCTTTGTGATTTTTTTCTTCTATCTATTGGTCCATCTAGCTCTGATGGCATTGGTTGTGGTCAATGTTCTTTATTTCTTGTGATTGAGCTTTTATGAACTTGGGTAGTTTTGCTATCTGAGTGGTAGTGCTCGAATTAGAGCATAATGTAGTTTGCTAGTTGTGCTGCATAAGATCCCTTATGTTTGGATTGGGGAAGTTTATTGTAGCACTCAGGTGTGGAATGTTATCAAAGTTATGATTCTTTTGAACCATGTCTAGGTTTGATGTTTGTCTTCACCCCATCTCCAGGAGGAAAAGAGATATGAGTTCTTCCATATGAACTTACCATGGTCCTGGGATGGTTGTGTTAGTTTGAGTTTGCCTCATCAGACTTAACTTTATTAACCCTTTGGAAGCTGCCAACCTACCATTCTTGTTGCTACTCCTATGGGTGTAAAGTGAGGCTTGCAAGCGGCTAAAAGAATTAGTTTATTAAAGATGTCTGAAGTCATATGCTACCAAGTAACTCATCTGGTGTGAGCTGGGAAATTTACATTTTTGCAAAGCAATTTGTACCCACTTGTGTCCACGGTGTAACCAACTTGACTTTTCATGTCAAACATCAAGCAATCTCCACAGAAGCCTTCTAACTCCTCATAGGATGTCAGTTCAGTGTCTTGAGATTTATATTTGTGCTCTCAGAAAGCTTTTGAAAACTTCGAACTAAAGTTCAATAGCAGCTGCTCAGCTTGATTGGTGAATAAGAGGCTTTATCGGTCCCTTTTTTTTTAAAAATGTTTTATGGTTACTTAATTAGTCTGGCAAACAAAGGCATGTTTGGGATTAAATTATTGCAAGGTATTTGAATGGACAGTTCTTGCCTACGTTCGTTGGTCTGTTATGAATATAAATACTTGCGTTTTCTACTTGCACCTGCTTTGGAATCTTGGCAATTATAATGCTTTTTCTCATTGGTATTGCACTCTCAAGGTGTCTTTTAAAGTTGCTTAAGGCTTTTTGTTACTTGGAAGGCTCTGGATCTCACACAGTTTTTTTGTCTTGTAGTATGGAGACCATTACCCTTGGGGACAAAAGGATAGGGATCAAGACTAGTGTCCTAGAGGAGAAAGCTACTGCTTGTAACATGCTATGTTGTTATGCTGATGAGCTGAAGGAAGGTTTCTATCCGTGGATTGATCAGGTACGTGTTCAATGTTTTAGTTTAGGTTTTTATCTGTTGAAACTGTTCAGTGCTAATGGTGCTCTTACTGGTCTTTTTGTTAAACAGGTTGCTCCAACTTTAGTTCCGCTTCTAAAATTTTATTTTCATGAGGAAGTCAGGAAAGCCGCTGTTTCAGGTGAAATGAATTACTGTCAGAGATTGTTATTTCATGGATATTCGAAATTTTGCATTCTATTTATCCTTCCATTTTCTTGTGTTGCTTTGCTAATTAAAAGTTTCATGCTCTTTGAAATATAATCATTTGTTGCAGCCATGCCTGAGCTGTTGCGCTCTGCAAAATTGGCTGTGGAGAAAGGGATTGCTTCAGGTCGTAATGAAACATATGTCAAACAGTTATCTGACTATATAGTGCCAGCTTTGGTGGAGGCTTTGCATAAGGTGGTTTTAGTTGTAAATTCTTCTATTTTGACATCCTTGTATCTCTATAATGCTTCGTGTGGGATACTGAGATGTATTTTTTGCAAGTTGTGCAGGAGCCTGATACGGAAATTTGTGCAAATATGTTGGATGCACTGAATGAATGCCTCCAGGTTGGTCTGTGTTCTTGTTGATGTTTATGTTACATTGGATTTTTGCAGTTGGCAGTAGATTCCTTATCGTATGTATCTTTTCCTGTGATTTCAGCTAGTAGAATAAACAGTTATACCTGATTGCAACTGTCCTTAGCTGTAGTATCACTTTTAAATTTTCTCCATTTTGGTTATTGTGATTACTTACTACTGCTATTCATCTTTCTGTTTCCTTGCGTGATTGATCTGCATGAGCTGGAATGGCTTTTTTCTGTGTCTTATGCCTTCATTTCTTGTCATTTTACTTATATGCATCTTCAGATCTTGTCCTATGAGATTTTGAAAACACTTGGATATAAGTCCTATTTTACTTGATGCTCCTGTTTTTGGCCTAGCATGTAAATCAGCTAGGTGTTGAGTAATTAATTGTGTCATTGCAAGTAGTTGACCTAGTCAAATAACAAATCAGAGCAAGCACGACTGGTAATTCTTCTCTATGTCTGCTTGTATGGGAGAGATAAGAATGCTGAAAGGAAGGTTGAAACAGATAAAAGAAAAAATAGGGAGGGAAAAGGGGGTTGCATGTGGAGATTATTTCTGAATTGATTCTCTTCTTTCTTTTTGAGGTATCTGAATCTCTCTTGGGAGTTTAGAAGAGCCTGTAATTTGCTTTTTTAACTTTGTTTTTAGATTTCTGGACCCCTTCTTGATGAAAACCAAGTCCGAAGCATTGTGGAGGAGATAAAACAGGTGATCACGGCAAGCTCAAGTAGAAAAAGAGAACGAGCAGAGAGAGCTAAAGCTGAAGATTTTGATGCAGAAGAAGGAGAATTGCTCAAGGAGGAGAACGAGCAAGAAGAGGAAGTGTTTGATCAGGTTTGTCTTTCCCTTCTTTGGTTGTGTTGAGATGTAATTGGCACAAAATTACCTTTTGCCGTAATCGTTTGATCATCTCTTTCATCATTGTTGTTCAGATTGGTGAAATCTTGGGAACAATGATCAAGACATTTAAGGCTTCTTTCTTGCCTTTCTTTGACGAGTTGACATCATATTTAATGCCTATGTGGGTAAGTTTTGCCTCGTGACTTCTTCAACTCCTAATTGTTGGGAATATGGTGAAATTTTCAGATGAGATGCAGAACTTTTACCTCATCTGTTTTTTATTTTAGCGCCTTTTAGCTTTTAGTAGATTAGTTTATTTGAAAAAAGAGTTAGCGAGTGAAGAATCAGAAGTTTTTAGTTGTTGTATTAAAAGTACCCTGTGGGATGTGCATCAAGAGTCAAATCTCTGGCATTCATCCATTTGGCTATCGTGATAGCCCCTTCATATATGTTTTTTTTTTGGGTTGAAGAAATCCAAATGCAAATATACTTGGGTTAGTGGGTATTATCACCTTTAAGTGATGAATATACAAAGGAGATAATGATTGTCCTTTGTGTTGGAGTTAGATTAGTTACAAATTAAGGAGTTTAAGGTTGTAAAATCACTTATTGCCACCATTTTGCTGGAAATTTGTCAAGTTCTGGTGTAAGCGATGGAGGCTAATGATAGCTAATTTACATAAGAAGAAACACATACACACACAATGGGAGGTTCTAAGAGAAGGGTGTTTGTTCTAAATGGAGGTTGTTCCATGACATAGACTGAATACAACATTTTTCCAGCTGCTTTACATTTTTACAGCTGCCTTCCATGACATAGAGTGAATACAAAATTTGTGTGCGCTCTTCTAATGCAGGGAAAGGATAAAACTCCTGAAGAGAGAAGGATAGCAATTTGCATCTTTGATGATGTTGCAGAACAGTGCCGTGAAGCAGCTTTGAAGTATGTGTCCAATCTGCAAATTGTATTTTAATTTACTCTTGCTTATGACAGGCATCAAATTTCATTGTCTCTGAGCATGTCAACCAGGTACTATGACACACATCTTCCGTTCCTTTTGGAAGCTTGTAATGATGATAACTCAGATGTTAGACAGGTTCGTAGAAATATGGTACAATTTGTAGAAAATAACTTCCAAGTCCTCTTTTGGGATATTTGGTTCATTACATGCTATTGTAGTTTTTAGGATACGTGGGTTGCCATTCTATAGAATACTTTTGAAGTTGCTTTTCTACTAGTCTCTGAACCGTGTTTTTGATGTACACAGGCTGCTGTTTATGGACTTGGCGTATGTGCAGAGTTTGGTGGCACTGTTTTCAAACCTCTTGTTGGAGGTATATTTCTGGACTTTGACGTGATATGGTCCGTTTCCTTTTGGCTTTTGTTGGTTTATGACTGGCTGCTAAATGTCATTGATTTGTTGATTTGACTTCATCCAGAGGCTTTATCAAGGTTAAATGTGGTCATACGGCATCCTGATGCCCATCAGCCTGATAATGTGATGGCATACGACAATGCTGTTTCTGCACTTGGGAAGATATGCCAGTTTCATCGAGATAGTATCGACTCGGCTCAGGTCTGCATGCTTCATTTTCTCGCCATCCTTTGTTTGTCCCTGCTTAATCATAAAGAAGTGTATATATATATACACACACACATATAAGGGGGCAAAAAGAAGACAAAAAGGGACAAATGAATGAGGATGTTTGCATGCTTTAGAGGATGATGATATTTTAAGTTAATTAGGCTCAAAGTAGCGGGTAGAATTTAATGATTGTGTTTTATGGAATGTTGTTTTCTGCAGATAATTTCAGAGAAAAAGTATGATACTGTGTCTTGAAGGTTACTAATTAAGCGTGTCAAGCACCAACTTCTTTAAAGTTTAGTCTATAAGCAATTTCAACAACTCTTGTTGCTTAATTGAATTTGGAAACTCCTATAGGTTGATATGTCAAAAAGCTACAGTTGACTTTGTTGTTGTCTGTTTACTTTTCTGCCTGAAAGAAAGACTACCTTTTCCACCTAGGTAAATAAGAACAATAATAATAATTAACAATCAAATTCTCTTCCAGATCCACACTGGCTTAGGGTGTGCTTGCAGCCCAGAAATTCAATATTTCTTTTCCTACAATTTTTACCACTTATTCATTCTTTCCAGGTTGTTCCTGCATGGCTGAGCTGTTTGCCAATAAAAGGGGATCTAATTGAAGCTAAAGTTGTTCACGAACAGCTTTGTTCAATGGTTGAAAGGCAAGGGATTTAGATTTTGTTGTGTTATTCATGCTGTTAAATTAATTTGTGATCTTTTCCTCCTCCACTTTCCCAGCTTAGTAAATGTCAAATGACTTGTCACTTTTCCTCCTGCAGATCAGACAGGGAACTTCTAGGTCCCAACAATCAATATTTGCCTAAAATTGTTTCAGTGTTCGCTGAGGTTGGTTTTGTACTTTCAATTATTCATTTTACTTCCAATTTGAGCACTATATGTCCAATATACATTTGGATGATGCTAAAGCTGTGTAAAGGAATGTGTCTTGACTTGTGATCCCTACCATTAGTGTCCATTTCATCCAAAAGGCTGCTTTCTTATTTCATCTTCTGGCATGCAACTGTGTTTAATTTCTCTTTCCACTTGTATGGAGGGTTATCATGATGTTGGATGAGTTGAATCTTTTATTCAGAGACTGGCTGAGAAAGAAGCCATGAGCTATGGTCGTCGAGTTGCAAATGCACCTCACCACCACCAGGAAATCTTTTCGTTCCCATAGCAGTTTAAATGATGTCTTCTTTGGTTTTTTTCATGTCTTCTTTGGTTTTTTTCAACAGCTATTATTTTCCTCTATATTTTACCAATGATCCGTGTCTTCCTGCATGAAAAGAAGGAAAAAGGGCTCACTGATCACTGACAAACTTGCTCTTATTCTGTACAAGTTGCCTGTCTGGTACTCACCAGATTGCAGTTACATTACGTCTGAAGAATCATATGCGCATTTGTCTTGTCTTGTAGCCTCATCTTTTTGAGGGTAGTTGCAGTAGTTTGGGGTATCTTGGTGGCGGATCATAAGGTGGTTGGTGAGTTTGACAGATAATTGTGGTATGTTACTGAAGGTGGCACAGTGAATTGGAGGTGTGCTGCGGGAATGGTTTGACTGGTTTATGTTTGTGGTTGGGGTGAGAAGTGAGTGCACGCTTCTGTGGTGTTCAATTGAATGCATAGGCATGGAAAGTTTCAAGTGGCCTGCTTTATATTTTCATTATTGTAGAGTATGGAATCTGAAAATTAGGAACAACTTTTAATCTCTTCCGTAATGCTTGTGGTGACCTCAGACACTTTATGCATGCCGCATTCGGGATATTCTGTGATTCCTATTTACTTGTGCTGCAGGTTCTCTGTGCGGGGAAGGACCTTGCTACAGAGCAAACTGCAAGTAGAATGGTTAATTTATTGAGGCAGCTTCAACAGACGCTGCCTCCTTCCGACCTGGCATCAACTTGGTCATCTTTGCAGCCTCAGCAGCAGCTAGCTTTGCAATCCATCCTGTCATCATAGCAAGTTGGCTGACAGTAGAACTATTGTTCATGGCTTTGGGGTTGCCTTGTGTCAAATCATATTTTTCCTCAATTCTTTGCATGCCATAAATGTTCAACCGCATTCAATTTTGCATGAAATTATGCATCGACCTCATGTTGGTTGCCTGGTCAGAGTGTGAAGCTATGCGAGTAAAGTACAGACCTTTTTCCTGTAGAATGTGTATATCGAGTGTTACAGTTTGACTTGGTAGGAGGGGAGGTTTGGTCATTGTGGCTTGAGATTTTGTTTTAAGCAGGGGATGTAAGAATTGTCAGTATGACAATTCTTGTCACAGTTTTGGTCGGGTCCACTTGTTCTTCATGTTGTTGATTGTCAATCAAATACATGGAATTCATTATAAATGGTTATATTCTTTTGTTGTTTTGATATCAATCCAATCGTATTGTGTACCATTCCTCATCTTATCACTGCTTGTTTTCTTTTTTGTATTTCATATTCCGGACGTGTTTGTCTTTGTTGATTGATTGATCATTTGATTGAATGATTATGTTTGAAAGCAAATAGATAATGCGTGGTTTACCATATTGTCAGTTTTATTCTTGGATGGACCATTGATTTGCTTTGAACATCCATTTTGTCAATCAATTGCTTCGAGTCTGTACCAGAATCAGACTATATTGTAGATCGTGGTGTACCGTCTCTGATACATGTTACAGTTTTACTCTTAGAATATGGTCAGCCGTTGCAACCATTTGAAAAAACATATGGTACCAGCTTATTGCTTTTGATCCGTTCGTAGGAATCAACTAACTTTTACTCCCAGCACTCGGGCTAGAAATCCAAAATCCACCACACTTGGTTGATTGTTGGATGAGGGAATGTATATTACAGGGTTGGGGTGCGAACGACTGCATTAGAGTTTGATGTATCGAAGTTTCGTCAGAACTGGAAGATTTTTTGTGATAAAACTTTTCTCTTCTGGTTGTGGAGATATTGTTCGCTCCTCCAGGCCGCAACTTGGAGGAACAGACGACCGAATATTCACTGTATTGTGAAGGGTCTTGCCGTCATCAGGGTGCCCAACCACCGGTGCTCAATGATGATCCCATCAAGAGGATGTTGACATTTACACTTTTCTATGGTAAGCCAACATTTGTCAGCTTGTAAGGAAAGAGATTCTATGAAAAAGCTAAAGAATAGAGTATGCAGCCAAATTTGCTGACTCTTGCTCCACTCCAGTTAAGAAAAAGTATGATGCCTGGGTTCTACTTCTAGATGAAGCCTACACCAGTAATCGAGTAAAATGGATTCCAAATAATTCCATTTGGGGGTTTTTTTTTTTTTGGGGGGGGGGGGAGTGGGGTGTGGGTGGGAAGGGGAGGTACAAGTTCTTGGTGATTACTTGGATAGACATCTTCTCTGTCTAAACAAAAACTTTATGGATAAGAAGAACTCCGTTACATAGCGTAGCTAGATGATACTCCATTACTTAAAAAAGTTTTTGTCATCAAGAGTGTCCTTAGAAGGCACGTAGTAGTAGTGGTAACGCGGGAAGATGTAGACAACTCCCAATTATCCTGCTCAATCTTAATTCAGCTTTTCCCTACTCTTAAGTTTCGAGGGAAATCCAACTTTGCCAAGGTTAAACTGAACGTCAAGCTTAGGTTTCTTGTGTGTCAAAAAAAAAAAAAAAGAAAGCAAAATTTATTTGCGTAGTAGATGCCTTGTTATATATATATATGCCAAGAAGTGTTGTTTTGGATGACTTAGAATTATGCTGAAAGAAAAGAAAATTGATTGTCTCAGGACTAGGAAGTAGGGGGCAGGACAACTTGTGAATTAGTTATTCAAAACAACGTCATTGTTCTAATCAAGCACCCATAATTAAAAACCCAATTTCTACCAGCCATCGCCCTTTATTTTTTTAGGTGAGGGGACGATCACATCCACATTAATGTTCTTGCATAGTAATTAATCACTATGTTATGTTTATCTGCGGACTAACGCAGCAACAAATGATGCCAGCCAAAAAGGTAATTTTTGTCAGCTTGTAAGGAAATAGATTCCATTCAAGGCCAAGCTGCCTGCTATGTATCTTTACTAACTTGATGCTTATCAGCTTATCTTGTATGTATGGATAATCTAATGCAGTTGATGTTTTAGGAAACATTTATTCTCGTGAACAGCAAGCAGTAATACTACTGCTATTAACTTCTTGGTCAGTCATAAACATCTCGTGCAGTTTTTTAACCAAGAAATCCACAAGTTATGTTCCTACCATAGTTCAAAGTCACGGTCGCGATCGTGATCCGGACCGTTTCACATTGGTTTCGGCATACTAGTCGTGGTTTCAGCGAGACGTAAATTTTTGAAATATTTAATATTCTAAAAATTGTAAAAAAATATGATAAACAAAAATAATAAAAAATTAACAAAAATAATAATAATTCAAATTAATTCGAGATGACTTAGGGCGACTCGCTGTTTCTATCCGTCTCGAAGATGTCTTGGTCAAGTTTTTAGTGACTCGACCGAATTATCAGTGATTTATTATCTAGGAGTCATCTCATCCGGATATCAAATCGAAAAATCCCATTCCAGTCACGACTTAGCCAAGTCTTTGAACCATGGTTCCTACTAGTTTGGAATGTATTTTGGTTTCTGCCCAAGAATTGAGGTTAAATGTGTCTTATCTGCAACTTAATGGTCGATATATAACATAGGCAGATAACTATACAATACACCCCATTGTTTGTTCTTTATTATATGAAAGGATTGCAATTCTCATAAATTTAACTCCTTGAGCTTTTCACAGCAGTATGGGGAACAAGAAGAATTTAACCATGCCTTAAGACACTAGTCTTGAATGATACTAGCGTTTATCTTTGATTGAGACAATGAATTAGATCAGTTAATAGAGGAGAAACCAATTCCAAGCTGCACCTTCCATTTGCCTGGTAAACCAACTCTTAGCTAGAAGTTAATCTGATCCCTCCTTTAAAAAAAAAAAAAATTCCCTTGTATCATAACAATAGGTAGTAGTGTTATGTGATGGTTAATTCACTGTGTAAAAAAAATGAATCTCTTGCTGCCCTCCATCGGCATTGCTTCATATTGTCGGTGGCTGAACTAGGAAGGATGGATTATTGAATACTAATTACTACTAGATCCCAGATTCAGAATACAAAGTCATTTTTGAGTTCTCCTGTAACTATTCCAACCACTCAGAGGGCCCTTCCTTTTGGAGGAGGAGAAGGAGGAGATGATCACCCCACAAGGCTTTCTTAATTAATCAGCATTTTTGTCGATTAATACTACTACATGTACAAAAACCAATGATGCAAGCGGTAAAGTTAACCTTTGTCAGGTATTGATGAAAAAGATTCGAACGAAAGGCTAAGCAGCAGCGTGCTTTAATTCGATTCTTGAAAACGTAAGACAAAAAAAGGACTTGTGTTTGTTTTACTAGTAAGTAGTTCTTATCCAAGGGGCAGATGCCTGGCGTGCATCCAAATGGCAGCCTTGCCTGACGCCTAAACATTTCAAAAAAGAAATGAACCAAAAAGAAAAGGAATATAATGGGGGGGCAGGCCCTCTACCGTGATTGCTACTTTGCTGCTTAGACAGGTTCAAAGTTGACCAAAGTGAGGGTGAATAAGAGAGAACAAATTTGTATTTTGTTCTCGAATATGCTTGAGAGGAGGGGCCATCTTTGACTTGCTGCTCATAATTCAAGGGTTTCTTGCCTTTATCTTTTGCACCATCTTTGCTTTGCTGTGTATGATGGATGGCATTTTGGGGGCTTTCTTGAATTTGAAATTGCCAGGTGGAGATACCATGCTCGAGATTTGTCCAATTGAGCTTATTGTATTTTGAAAATTAATCTCATGGGGACTTCCATTTGTTTCTGGTATATATCTATCTATTAACAGTGCTGCTGCATTTTAACTATTAAAGTTCGGAGAATTATCTTGCAATCACGGTGATGATGAAGTCAATTCTCCTGTATTGGATTCTTTCTTGCGAGTGCTGCCAGCGAGGAAAATGAAATACTAATACTTTGCAGCCAGAGAAACATGGTCAAATGGTTTCATTTCACTCCTATAGCCTATTCTCTGTTGCTCTTCTGATTGAATTATCATTTTGACTTGTAATCCTTGGCAAAAGAACCTGTTTAATATTTAAACTGATGCAACCATGATTAGCAATATCAGCCGATACCGATACGTATTGGCCAATTCGTAACCGGAACAGAGAGGACCGCTATGATACCGATCTCCTAATCGTGGATATTATTGTATCCACGGCGACTCGCTCTGACTCGACCGATATTGGCCGATTCGAATTCATGATGCATGTCATCAGCCGATATATCCGAGTCAATTCGGAGTTGACTCGGATATTTTTTCAAATTATACCTTTTTTGGTATTTTCTAATTTTAGTAATTTTTTCAAAATTTTTGGAAACTTTATATGCTATAATGTGCGTATCACCCGATATTCAATCGATATGCCGCGACGGATATGGAACAACCGAGACCGTGACGCGACCGCGATCCGTGACGGCGAACCATGGATGCAACTAATGATTGGCAGGTAGGTGTGTGTGTGTTGCTCCACCGATATAAAAACAAGGGAGATTTGTTTGTTGGAGTAGTTGATAAATCCTGCCAGTTTTGCTAAGAACCTAAAGAAAGAACGTGTTAGGCATAAATGTGCAAGCATGCCCTGCAGGAGATCAGGCAAATAATACCAAAAGCAAATAAACATTTCCAGAGAGCTGTGTGATAATATGTGTGCGAGCATTGGTCATGCTAACCAGTCATGGTTGATTGACATTGTCCGAACCCTTTTCATTGAAAAATCAGTCAAACATTTATAAAAGAACAAATTGAATTTTATAAACAGACAACAAAAGCAGACGAGGTTGCCCACTAATGTCATGACTATATAAGTCTCTGTCGTCTCCATTTGTGAAGAATCAAGGAGCATACTCAAGGCTCCTCTGTCTATTTACTTCTTTTTTGTACTTTGACAAAATTTTATAGCTGATTGAGCTTGTTCTCTTGGGCGGGGAGGAAAATGGAACTTCAATTCCAAAAACAAAGCACGTATATGGTGGATAGAAACAGAGGTAGCAGCAGCAAAAGGAAGTTTGTTGGGGTGAGACAGAGGCCATCAGGCAAATGGGTAGCAGAGATCAAGAACACTACTCAGAAGATCAGGATGTGGCTCGGGACATTTGACACAGCTGAAGAAGCTGCTCAAGCTTATGATGAGGCTGCTTGCCTTCTCCGAGGCTCGAATACTCGAACCAATTTCATGAATCATGTTCCTTGCAATCCAGCTCTGTCCTTGAAGATCAGAAACCTCCTCAATCAGAAGAAAGGGCGTCTCAACAAAATCGCCTCTCTCGCTTCCACAGCCTCCAACAAGACAGCCACAGAGAGCA